AATACCGCTCCTTCATTTCCCCGGCCTGAGGGCGCTCAACTCGCCATTCAAACCCCTGGCATGATTCTGAAAAAAAAATATATATATATTCCTCCTGAGGACACATATGAAGGCTGCCACAGAAGAATAAGCTCCACCCAGGTTTCTGATCATGAATCTGTATTGTTTTCCCCCTCTTTCACAAGCGGTAAGGATGACAAGAGACGAGATTGTGAGGAGGTTAAGCTGACCTCAGGCTCACGCTTTGGAGCCGGCTTACCCTGGAGTGCGAGATGACAAAACATTTTGCCCGATCTCACTTGCAGCTCACTGACAGGCTGAAACAAAAGAACAGCCTCGGAGGAATTTAAAATCATTGAATGAATGTCAATTAATTTCACAGGACGGAGTTGAATTGATTAGAATATAAAACAATCTTTCTTGAAAGCAAAAGGGAATTGATGTCCAAGGCCTTCAAACAACAGGAGTGGGAAGACAGAAAAACGACAAAATGAAAGAAAGACTTATTTTGTGTGTATGTGTGCTTCGCTTAAGAGTGTGTGCGCCCAGGTGCGTGTGTGAGTGTGAGCTCAGTAGTTGTGTTGCACGCTTGGCTGGCGGGGTGTGTGTAAAGTAATTAACATGATAGCCTCTCTCTCAGCCTGATAGCCTGTTCCCTGCAGCGAGGTCGTTCAACAGACACCTGAGCTGCGTCTTAGACACAACCCTGGAATGCATCTCTAATGCAAACACACACACACAAACAAGTTCACCCCACATATGCCTGGTACTAACAAACACTGGGAACATACAGCTATCAGCAGCAATCACATGGTACATCTATACCTGTCAAATAAACAGGTGTCAAATAAACTGACATTTATTAATTCACCTTGACAATCATGCAGACAAAATGCAAAATATATATTTACGAGACAATGTAGAAGCAAGAAATCGAGACAACTAGATACTCAGGGAACTCAAAACTTTGCCAGGACAAAAAAAGTAAAGTCTGGATCTGACCTAAAAGAGAGACAATCTGATGTCTTTTCTTTAAAGCAGCTATAATTTATATTTTTATAATATAATGTATCAAATAACAATGTGATAATGTGAAGGTCACTTGTAGTTAAGAACCCACAGAGAATTATCACCTGAATCTTCAGCTCCCCTCGGCTTTATGGAGCTTTATAGCAAGATTCATCTCATCGTTTAGCCATCATGTTAACTGTTTTGGTTCACTATCACCGCTCTCAGTGTCGTTTTTGGTTGCAGCGAGCAGCTGTTTTCAGTGATAAAGCTAAAAACATAAAAAATATTCAGGTATTCAGTTATCTGGTGACCGTTAAAGAGCTAAAGAGCCAGATATTTCCCTCAGGAGTTGTTGGTAGAGACCAAAAACAAAGCTAAAAGAGAGTGAGCTGGACATATTTTCATCAGGTGGCTAGAAACATGACAACGTTGCCCCATAACTGCTGGCTGTGTACATACGCAACTGTTGTTGTTCACAATATCAATTTATTGCAGGTTTAAATCATGTTAGAGATTTACTCAATTCTGTATGAGAAATTCAGGTTTTGTATGTGGATGAAATATGCCAAGTCAGACTCATGACTAGTTCAATTCATCCATCCATCCCTCCATCGTCAACCGCTTATCCTGCGTACAGGGTCGCGGGGCAGTTCAATTAAATTAAATTTTAAATATAATTTCTTGTAGCACCACCTATAGATGACATCCAAAATAATTTTGCAGGAATGCTTGGAGTTGAGATGTTCTAAATGCAGTTATAATCGTGCAACATGTTCATGACTTGTGGCAGTAACGTAGGTTAACTTACCATGTTTACAAGAATTTAGCAATACAGTAAATGTAACGTCAAAAAAACAAATAAATAAGTTCTCTGGCATCATTCAAATATATTATGTACCAAACATAAATTGTGTAGGCATGTTCTGTCCAGGCAAAATTGGGCTAAGCCAATACTAAAACTTTTGTCTTGAACCAAGAAATCCAGGAACATTGCTTGTTCACTACACGGTTCTGTAGTCATGAGTGAAAAGTGGTTTATAAAAGATCTCATAGTGGAGCTACCTACACCACAAACAATAAAACTATATTCCAGTAGAAACTAACTTTCTACCAATGTCGCTGAAATCTGTTCAGCAGATTTTGATAGTAGTAACTAAAAAACAAACAAACATGAGGGGATGAAAAACATGGCCATATAACCAATGGTGGCCAACACAACACTGAGAATATCCATCCTCTTTATTCCAGTACAATCTATTGTTTCCCTCTTCTTCATCCCTCATAACCCCAGGACCTACATTCTGGTCCTCTAATCCTAAAACTGTGGCCTAGCACAGACCCCCAAACACCCCCTTCAGCCCCACACAGCCCTCATTTGCTAAAGGATTAGAGTGAGGGCACCAGGGTCAAAGCGAGGACACCACCAGAGACCCCCAAAAAGAATAAATGCACACACAACAGTCCACAGAGCCACTAAGACAAGCACACACACACACACACACACACACATTAGCAATGTGTGAACTTTGCACAAATGACATTGCTTTAAAGCACACACAGTCTGAGGAGCATAACAGTATTATGTATTCACATACTGTAGGTGTGTAGGCAGGACCCTCATCCCCGGACATGTACTGAAACAGAGACACAAATTTGCATGAGCATGTGCAGAACTAAATAAATTTGACCTTAACTCTCTAACTAAAAAAAAAACACTAATACATATTTGTGCAACTTTAAAAAACCAGGGTCAAATAACAACTACAGAGAGAGGGAAGCTGTTGATAAATCGCAGCAGCTCTACGGCAGCATGAAGCACACCTCCGAAAGAATTCTAAGGGAGAGAGAAAGACAGGAGGGAGAGTCAGCAAGAGAAGAAAAGTGATTGTCAGGGAGAGAAGAAACATCACTCTGAAAAGTTCTAAAGAAGGCCCTGCTCTGGGTTTTAAATGCTCTCCTCCCTCTATCACTCCCTCTGTCTTCCCACTTTCCTCTCATCCCTTTCATGAATTAAAAGCACGGCCGGTCTGTGGGGAGAAGCATAGTTAATTCCGATCAGATCTCCTCCTCCCCCCTCTCCGCCTCCCCCAACCCTCCTCCTCTCCTCCCTGGGCGACGGTTGCCGTGCAGTCTGACAGACGGAGATGGGATCTGACAGTAAACAGGCGTGTGGATGCCCGGCGCGTGATTGACACGTAGGCAGGTCGGTGGGGGCCCGCCCCCCTCCTAATCCTGCCCTGTCAGCTCTAATTGGGGAGGTGGGGCTATATGTCACCAAGGTGACTGATTGACAGGACCCCAGCTTTGCATAGATATGAGGGAAAGGTGGGGAGGTTCACGCATGGCATAACACTGTTAACACTACTATACTGCTAATAGAGATATGTGTGTGTGTGTGTGTGTGTGTGTGTGTGTGCGTGGTTGCTGTGTGCTCATGCACAGATAACCAGATGCAGGTGAACACACTCAAGAACATGGCTGAGCACACAAATAAATCCACAACAATAACCACGAACAAAATCGACATGCATACGGGATGTCTGAATGTAGAGTGGATCTACAAACCCACACACACATACACACACACACACACACACACACACACACACACACACACACACACACACACACACACACACACAATCTCCTGACATGTTGTGATGAAGAGCAGAGGTTGTAAATGCTACAAGTGCTGAGATAAGGGACGCAGGGAGGAGCAACTCAGAGGTCTTCACCATGTCAATGCCAATGAACGACATGGCAGGGGTTAGTCGCCATGCTATTACACTTCAACCTGTGGGCACGGAAACGTATGTGCTAATGAAAGATTGAAAGACTCTGCGTATATTTGTATGGATATGTGTTGGGGTCATGCCTTTGGGACACATTTGATGTTCTATATGGCAGTAGTTCCCATCAGGTCCCGTCAGGACCCCTTAAAGGGTCGCATTATGATGAACAAGATAGTAAAGAAGAAACAAGCCAGCTCAGTGAGCTAGCGGTTTAATGAGGCTGTACTGCACGAGGCTTTGAGCTAAATGCTGATGTCACCCTGGTAACATGCTCACAATGATAATAGAACAGGCTGCAGTTTAGCTGGTATAATGTTTAGCGGGTTCACCTTCTTACTTTAGCATGTAAGCATGCTAACATTTCCTAATTAGCACCAAACGCAAAGCACAGCTGAGGTTTATGGGAATGTCAGCTTTGCAGGTATTCAGTTATAAACCAAAATATTTGACAAACTGAAATGCTTACATGACGATGGTGCAATCACCAAAATGGCTACTTTTCAACCTGAGGGGAGAAATAAATGTGTGTGTTAAAATCGCAATTTGTCTAATAGTGAGACATTTCACCCAAAACCACAAATATCTACCTATCTCATGATGGTGCTAGAGGAAAAAGTCAGAGGACTAAAGTCTTTAATAGTCTGTGGGCACCAATGTCTGTACAAAATGTCATAGCAATCCATCAAATAGTTGTTGAGATATTTTAGTCTGGATCAAAGATGTGGATCAACCAACTGACAGACATTACATAATACTTTCAATTCATTAAGTTAAATCTTAGTTAGTTAAAATTAATGTAGTCCAATACTGGCAATACTGGAGTTTATTTCCACAACTCAAAATTCTTTTTTGTTGTTGTTTTTTTACTATTCTATAGTCTTACTTTTTTCTTGTAGAATTCTGGACAGTTATACATCCTCAAGTCTTTAAAATGCAAAAATCTTAGAAGGAAAAATCTATCTGGTGAAGCTGCTGACAATCTCAAAGACATGCACAAAGCTCTAAACGAAAAAGGTTGGGAACCATCACCACATGAGACTGTCAAAGTATGTGCTCCAAAGCATCTGAATTTGTATGGCTAATTATAAATTGTTAATTGTAAAATAGCATAGCTCATATCCTTGTGTATGAATTTATTTTAGTAATATTGTGTGAGTACATGCATGCATGTGCGTGTTTTGATTGACAACTGCCACTGACCTGTGCCAGTCAGAGTGCCATGCTGCGGGGCTGTGGGGTCGATCGCTACGGAGATGACCTTCGCCCTCATCTGCATCCTGCCTTCATTAGCAGGGCCAGGCAAGGAGAATAACAACCCAATAAATTAATAAAGAGAAAGAGGGATGGAGGAGAGAAGGAGGGGAAGGAGGGGAAGGAGGGAGGGAGCAGACAGGAGAGCAGGCAGAGCAAGGGTAAAATGGGAAGAGAGAGTGAGGGAAGGAAGGAAACAGGCATGAGGAAAGGGCAAGGAAGGAGAGGAGTGAGAGGAATGAGCGAGGCACTGAAGTATAGAGAGCTGGGAGTCAGGAGATGGATGGAAAAGCTGCAAAAATAGAGTGTGTGTATGTGTGTGAGAAGGCTAAGGGTATGCGGTCAGCTCAGGTAGAAAAAAGCTAATGAATTAAAAGTATAGAGAGGCTGAAGAGAAAGAGAGATTGAATCTAGCAATAAAATCCAAATGCAGATAAAGGATGCATTCATATATTGTGATGATGCACTGAACTACAATTCAACCAAATTTGTAAATTTAACCATGAACAACTGGAAAAAGATTTTGCCATATCTCTGGGGCTAATTTAGAAATGTGGCTCCAAGCCTTGTTTAAACAGAGTATTGATACATAACCATCTGTACTGGTTCTTAAATGCCAGTATAGACGGAGATGCTCTAACTGGTCCACAGAGCTGCATTTTAACAGGGCCAAATGTTCCAGATTTTCCCCCTCTCATTCATGATTGGGGTGAACTTAGCATGCCAGCCACACAGAAAATGTGTTAATAAAGCATGAAGTTTAATCATCTACTATTGTACTGGATACATTGCCTTGCTGCTCTTGTTCACAAGCAGACAGAGATAGAGGAAAATACCTCTCGAAAACCTCCACACTTGCAGTAAAACACACAGCAGAGTCCAGGGGAAGCTTGCCGCGTAAATAAATTATGAACAAGTATGTTTCGCGGGATAGCCTGTTGGTTGGGAGCCTTCCCAGGAGGACTCCAGTAATGATGCTTTCTCATCCTCCAGCAGAGTTTTATAGCATACACCACCTTCCATTACTCTATCTTCATCAGCATGATGGATAGAAATATGGCCTATCCTTACACCAGGAGATCTGTGTTTTATTTTTCTCAGAGGGTAGCTGTTTTCAAAAATGAACTGTATTATTCAAACTTATTTTAACCTTTTTGTCTGATGTAACCCCACAGCCCTTTCCCTTCATCGAAATCTGAATTGATTTTAAATTGAATGTATTTATTATATAAAACATTTTCATGCAATTTAACAGCCAATCCATCTAACTATCTATTTTAACCATTTATCCTTTAGCTACCTATTTCACCATGTATCCATTTACTTTCAGCCAACTATTTTAAGCATATCAATTAGACTTCTTTTAGCTAACCATTTCAAACATATCAGTTAATTATAGCTAACTATTACATTTATATATAACATTTATGTATTATTTTCAAAAACTATTTCAACTATATCTACTACTTTGAGCTAACTATTTCAACCTTTCATCAATTACTTTTAGCTAACTATTTCAACCATATGATTTACTTTTAGCTAACTATTTCAACCATATGATTTACTTTTGGCTAACTTTTTCAACCTTTCATCTATTACCTTTAGCCAACTATATTAGGTGTTTATCCAATACTCTTAGCTATCTATTTTCACCATTTAACCTTTAGCTTACTTTTTCAACCATGTACCCATTACTTTAAACTAGCTGATTAGACTTTTCTGCCCACTTGCTAATCAGTCCTACTCGCAATATAAGGTTTCATTTTGTATTTTTCAAATTAGTTTAGCTGCTCTGCAACCTTTCCAAGTGCTGGAAACTGCAGAAGTAGCTACCTCCAGGGGTACAAGTATCCCTTGATTGTAGAAGGATACAATGGCAAAGAGATATAGACCAGTTTTCTCACTGCAACTTGTGCTGACTTTATAGACAGCTCAATTTGAAACACTGAGAGATGTTCATCAAGCCGATCACTGTAATATCTAACTGAATTTAGAGAGGCAAAAACACCAGTGCTATCAAGAGACTTAATAACACATATCACATCAACAAGACCCCTCTATTGAGAAGACACAGGTAATGTGCCAGATTCTATTTTCTCTGTCTCGCTCTAACTGAGAAGTGCTGGCTGTTTGGGGTCGAGAAGTGTGAGCGCCGGGGAGCGAGGCCTGCTGTGCTGGGGAGGAAATTCTCAGGGCGATCGATGTGGAGGATTAGGGCCGGCTTTGGGGCTCAGAGGCCTGGATCTGAGCAGTATTCTCACTGGGGCCCCTGGGAGAGCTGGATAGGAAAGACGGAGGGGAGAGAAGAGGAGGGCCAGGGGAGAGAGAAGAGAGGGCTAACCTGGAACTGTCAGGAGGCTGAGAGAGGGTTGGCCAGGCTGGGAATAGAAGAGCAGTCATGGTCCCACTTGACATTATGAATGGCGCTGAAACTTTGCCACCCACTCAGATAAACACACACTGGCCACTCTGATTGGATAAGCTGTAGAGCAAAGAGGTGGGAAGAGGAGATTTAATGTAAGAGAGAGAAAACAGATAAACACAGATAAAGTTGGGTTTTTTGTCTCCTTACAATTCATCTTTTAATTTTCTTCAGGCCAAATCGGTAGTTGTCTTCTAACTTGATGAGTGCAGCAGATAACAAAAGGCTCCCTCCTTCTGTGTGTCTGCCTCTGATGCTCATGATTGGTCAGCCCATTCGCCAACTTGCCGCTCTCCCCCGGGTACAGACGGTGAGATCCATGATTCATTTTGCAATGAGGAAAAAAAAGGAGAGAGCGCATGTGAGAGAAGAAACAGCCAAGACCACTGGGAAATTATACGGTGGAGCGGCATGGTGGATCTGGAATTAAACGGCATAATTAATCAAGCAAAAAAACAAGCACGTTGCTCATACATTTATTATTTGCATGTTTTCCACTTCAGGAGATGTAATCAGCAGATATACGTCAGGGCCCCTGATCCATGTCCAGGGGACTGGAGGCCGAGTGCTCATTTTGACCACTGACCCTAAAAGTGTAAAGTTGGATCCGTTCTGCTCAACGCTTTATTTTTTTCTCACTATCATCGCCACACACTGCCCTCTGCCTCCAAAGTAATCTCCTCAACAAGTAGAACAAGTCCCACCGAATCATGTTGTTATCTTGCAGCCCTTTAAATTAGGGTGTCTACAAAATTGAGTTCACAACTCTGGGCTCTCTGTGGAGTTGTTCTGCATTATGCAGTGTGTACACTTGACCCGATGAAGAAGAACTAGCCAGTTTTAGAAAGATAGCGTGGAAATATCACAGGAATATGATTACATAGCAGTAAGGAGCAGACAAAGCCATGTAAACATCTAAAAAAATCCTTTAAAATAAGTAAACTGCCATTGTAAACACAGCTACAAAAGGTCACATTAGGTTGCATGCCAATTAGCAACACTTGCTGAACCTTTGTAGACTACTGTAGGTCTATCCTTATGAGAGTTGTTATTATTGAGTTTTGTTTTCTGATTTTGGAATATGTCACAATTTTCATGTTTGAATCTCTGTTAGTAGTCTCATGTTGCTTTGAAAACTCAACTATCAAAGTACTGATTGCGAGGTGTGTTCTGTACAGTCATGTTTTGCAGCTGATAAAAACTGCTGACCAGAATGAAACCTAACATGACCTCATATTTGTAGACCATTTAACCACCGCACATGCACTCCTTGTCACATGAGCAGTTAGGTTCCTCTCTCAGACTGATTCCCTTTACTAGTGTTTGAACTACCGGAGATGGTGAAACTCTTCCATGAAAAAAAAAAAAAAAGATTTGAGAAACATTAGTATAGTATATTTTTTATGTTTTGTTTCTATTTTTTTCCCTACCTTGTTGATCATTTGACGACCCCTCAGATTTACACTGTGACACCTGTGGAGGTCTGGTCTCCCAGGTTTGGAACAACTGACCTTGAGGAAAGTAAATACTGTAGAAACAATGCACATACAGTATGAAATGTATTCATAAAGCTTTCTGTTTTTTATTTATTTGTATGTGTTTTTTTCTAATAACTTTTATCTTATTATACCTACCTCACTGGTGTGTTTTGTGCTGCTGTAATACTTCATTTCCTCCTGGTGATCAATAAAGTTTCATCTTATCTTATAGGTTAATTAGGAATGGTAAAAATAAATAAATAATAATGCCATGAAGTACAATACTGCTATCATCTCCTAACAGTCACACTATATTTTATCCCAGTTAATAGCGATAAAATGTACATTAGTAGTGGTGGAAGTATAACAGGTTGTTGTTGTTGTTATTGTGGGACTATTGATGTGATTTGCTCCCAGGATACAGGTGCTGGATCATTCACCTACATCTCCTTTGCCTCCACCACATGTCTATCCTCCTAATTATGGTCATTATGCATAAATACATCCGCCAAACAGTTTGAAACGTATCACTTTCCAGCTGGTCAATACGGCTTGTTCCTGGGGCGCCGTCATCAATCGAGGTATCAATATGGAAATACCACTGTGACCCAGACATTAATCAATGGGCTCCTCGGGGAGGAGAGGGAGGGCATGGGCACCTAAAATCATCAATGAGACGGATCGGCCCGCAGTCAGCCTCGGACAGTCTGTATTGATAAGAGCATTTCCACCTGTAGCGGCCGGAGCGGAGAGACAGGCCGCATCTGAATTCAATAGCCGCCGCTGCAGCTGCGAGCTCGAAGCCCAGAAAGACACGGTTGAGCGGAGATACGTGCCTCGACTCATCATAAGACCAGTCTCTTTTTCTCCATATATGTCCCCTTCCTCCTCCTTTTCTGTCTACCTCAGAACTTTTTTGGTCATGCCTAGCACTAAAGAAGCACATCACGCCTCTAATACAGGGCAACCATGACTTCAAATTAAGTTCTTTGTCTTTATTCCGCGGCTTAAGCTATTCTTTGCAGAGCCCCCCCGCCCCCCCGCCACACAATCTCTGGAGTTTAGTCAAACCTATTTCCTCCTCCAACGTCAAACCGTGAGAGGGGGTGAAGTGGAGCTCGACATCAATGAGAAAAGCCTTCAGATGCTCCTCTCAGGCGCTCAGCTCACTGTGAGCGCGGGATTAAACCGTCGTCTCACTGTTGACATCCAAACCTTGACCCAATCAATTAGGTCCGTGCTCTGCGTTTGCCTCCTTTACCCGGATACAGCAGAGCAATGGTAGATGGGTAGCGTGGGACAAGTCAGCCTCCTAGTGGCGCGTTCCTGTACGCACAAGGAAAAGCGGCAATGTGCTCGTGGAGAAACATTTTATTAGAGAGAAAAGAAAGGGAACATTAGATAATTGTGCTTTAGATAAATAATCACAATGGAGCTTTAATAGCTGTATTAATTTGTTTCTCTTTCCAAATTGTGCAAAATCCCCCTCATACTTGTGACAAATCCTGGCTCTCCAGACAACCCCTGTGTGGTTTCATCCCCACATTTTGGCAAGTCAAGCAATGTTGACGATGCCCATATTTGACTTCCAGTCAAATCCCACACCACTCTCTCCCTCATGACACTTCTTAAAGGTTAGAGTTCAAGGGTCTTGTGTCCTGTATGCACACAGGCTTGCCCTTTTCATTCCCAATCAGCCACGCTCTCTCTTTTTTTTTTCTTCATGTGCCAGTATGGAGAGATGCACCACAAAGGTCATGAACATGGATTTCCTTTGGTTTGACTCAATGAAAAGGTCAGATGAGGGCACCATGAAATGGCAGTGAGGCCTTCACATTGCCCTCACAGGGACCCGAGTCCTTACATCACCCTGAAATGGCACAGGCTGAGCACTCCTGGGGCTGCTCTGAGTGCTCTCACCAGAACCAGGATGGTCCCGTGGGTCACCGTGACCTCATCTGGGGCCCCATGTGGCTTTAGTGTCCCATCAACAGCATGCATAGAGAACAGAGCCGCACATTTTGGTCAAAAGACTATCACATGTGGTGTGGAACAAAATATTTAGAACACAGTGTGGTAGAAATTCCTTCCTTTGACTTTGAATACTTATTTCTAATATAATTCATTATCAACAGTGTTACACAAACTGTAAGGCTGCTGCAAAGCTCCAGTTTCAATGTTGAATATGATGAGGTAAGACAACAGACATATTTTCCTTGTACAGTATGTGGTAAACTGTGTGAGAAGGGCATGTTTCTGTGTTTCAGTGATTTTGCTCCACCACCCAAAAACTGCATCCAGGGAGGCTGTCTGTCCCTGTTGGTAGAGCAGCTTGGCCATTAATCATAAGGTTCATGGAGATCCCAGGTTCCTCTTGTCCATGTGTCAAAGTGCCCTTGAGCAAGCCACAGACTGCTCCCACTTACAAAAATATTTGCACAATTAATGTATCTTCATAGGTGACAATGCAAGGCATTGAGGTCAATATACATTGGAAAACCTGCCTGTTCGCTGTGTGCAGGGATGGACTTCTGCAAACTCGTAATCAGCTGAACATCATGTATGTAATATTTCAACTTTATTTTTACACCAACATGTACACTGCTTATTCAGTTTTGTGTAATTCTATGTGTCAGCAATTCTTGACATCAAATCTCTTAGTGTTCCACTTTTTGTTATCCTGCTGTGTAGACCAGTGCTTCTGAAACCTGGGGGTCGTGAGATGAGTAACAGCATAGGAATGAAGAACAAACATGCATATTTTTGCTGTACAATTGTTTATATATTATTGTATATTGTTGATATATTATATCAGAATTTCATGCTTGTTTTCTTTCTAACGAAGTACCTTTAAGACTCAAAAAATTTGAACAAAGGGAGGAAAAACTGTGGGTTGCAAGTAGACATCTTCATTTTATGGTGTTATAAGCCAATAAGATTAGGGACCACTGGTGTAGACCATTACCTGCCCTTGACTTTACACTTTGTGTTGCCTTGTAGAAAAGGTACCTTTATATGAATGATAGCAATTTATAAAACTTCTTTCATGATGCTCTAGTTTGCCATCAACAACAAAAACCCTCAAGTTCTACTTATCTAGCTTTTCCAGAGCTTTGTTGTGGTTGATTTGAAGATAGAAGTTGATTAAGTAGTCACCTGTGTCCCAGGACATTCACCTTTCTCCTCAGACTTGATCAGGATTGCCTTATCTGTTTCACATGTCATTAATTACTCAGATAATTTACTCTAATGCATAATAAAGAGACAAGAAGCATCTGTTTTACAAGATTTGATTTATTAACTATGATACAGATCACATAAGGCCTTGCTGTATACACCATTCCCATTGAGACAAATTACCATACTCAGCAAATGACAGTTTTTTTTGTTTGATGTTATCTTTTCACTTTACAGTACTTCATTTTTTTTATTATCCCCCCCCCCCCTCCCCCTCCCCCCATTATTTCTTAATATTTTTTTTTATCATCTCTTAAATAGTGAGAGTGGTGGAGCCCTCTTCCTTGGTTGGGAAGAAATCATGCACTATACTGGGCTGGTCTCTCAATCGTTCACAAAGAAATTGTTAAAAAAAATTGCTTTGTATTTTTTAATTATTAAAATAAAACATAAAAAGAAACATTTTTTTTCTATCACCACTGACTAAAGGGCAAAGTGTTAGACCCCCTAACATACCAATAAACAACCATTTGAATATAGTTTTGCTTGTTTCTCATTTTAACTTAACAGACATCTGTCACCATTGTTGCAAAAAAACAAAAAACAAAACAAAAAGAAAAGCAATGCAGCCACATATTATCGCTGAACCAAAGTCACATTTTTTATTCAATTGTTCTTCTAAACTGTCACTTTGCTTCCCATCTCTCCTTCGACCCTTTTTTCCACAGTCTTTGGCTCCCTCACAGTCAGTTCAGTATTAACACATTGATATACACAGGGAACACACCACTGGCCGCCGTTTACACACAAGTACCAGTGGTCACCCCCTCCTTCCTCCCTCCGTCTCCCAAATAATGATCCCATTCACCCGTCTGCTGTCTGTCTTCCCACCCTCTTCCCACCCTCTCCCCAATCTCTCCCCCATCTCTCTCACACTTTCTCTGAGGATCAGTGTGTGTAATCTGGACGAGCTAACAGGGTTACACAGCGGGGTAATGACCGCAAGGAGAACTGCATTCCTCTCCTTCACGTTTGTTTGGATCACGCTGGTGTCTGGCCATCTGCCAAGCACAGCTTGCTAGCATGTTAGCTCAAACCCACCCACTCAACTCATTCTTAATTCCTTTATCACACACACAGACATACACACATATTAACACCCACACACAAGGTAAATAGGTAGTGTAGACTGATAAAAGCTCCTTTAAGAGTTCAGTGATTGGTTACCCCCCCCCCCCCAAGAGGACAGGCTGGCGAGACATGCAGAGATGCAATTCAGTGTCAAACAGAATAAGTGACCTTGGTGAGCATCTGCTTAACATTAACACGCACAAGTTCACATGCGCACACTCTTTCTCAAGCTGTGTGTGCACGCGTGCGCGCACACACGCGCACGCACACACACTCACAAAGCTGCTTCGATCGGGGCTCAGCAGTTCTCCTTGAGCCCCATCTCACTGGTTTCTACGGTAACAGCAGGCTGGTCCGAGGAATTCTGTGATGCTCCATTCCAGTCATGAAGACGGATGAATGGACTGTCTGTTCTGCTGTCTCTCTCGGACCCAACTGTCTCTCTTGGACAGGGAATGACTAAGGGATGTGGTGGCAGTGACAGCGGGGGGAGTCTGGTGTAGTGGTTACGCTCTTGCAAATTATATTTTGAGTCCTCCGAGAGCAGGTTTGAGTTTCCCTTCCAGAGGCATAAGGCTGTGTCCTATGAGGACAGCATGCTGAGGCCTAGAGCAGTGGTTACAAATTATTTCCAATGATAAAAAGCATCCCACCTGTCAAATCTTGAGCCTCGTTTCCAGCTCTTACTTTCTGGCCTCTAATGCTACACTATGCCTCAATTTATTTCTACTCAAATATAGCGTCTGGGAAGTGGCACGCACTCCTCTACAAAGGGCTTTGGTGAAATGGAAGCTAACAACAACAGACAGAGAGGCAAATGCATTCACTGCTTGTAAAATCAGCTGCAATGTAGCCACATGCTTTGTGGCTACAGAGACTGAATCTATATAAACTCAATTGATTTGTAACAGATTTAAAACTGCTGTTGTTCTTTTGCTTACACTCTTACACTTCATGAGTTCTGAAGTAAATTTTATCTGACATACAATGCTGAAAATTTATAACAATTGCACCTATAAGAGCATCTGACGCTACAAAAACCACAGTAGGAAAATGGTGCTACGCCCATGCAGTGGTGGAAATGGGATTATGGCTGCAATACCCATTTCATCCTCTAGATGTCAGTGGTGCGTTCCCAGAGAGAGAAAGAGAGTCGGGTGGACTGTCAAAGTGAACGGTGGCTGTCATGTTATGGCAGCTCCAATTTAAAATGTGCCTTCAAAGTGCTCAGAAAAGTGCTTTTTGAACAAGGTCCTTACTGTGAAAACTGCCGCACTGACTCGTAAAACTACCACAGCGTGAAAGAAGCAACATGACAGATGAAGGTCCAACCCTGGAACTATTCCCACTATCTGCCTAATGCAGGGAAATTCAGGTAAAACAAAAAGGCATAGATACATGCGCACACAGACAGATAGACAGTCACACAGACACTTACACGCAAGGCCACTCATTGAGTGATGGGCCTGGGTTTCTCTGTGTTTCCCAAGATTTTGTCAAATGAAGAACAGAATAAAAAATGCATCAGAACAGTGGGAATGTGAATGTAGAATTAAGATTTGGGCCGATTAAAAAATCCACTTTTTATGCTGTTTTTTTTTTTTCATGCAAAGATCGGGCATGAGGTCGAGTTCAAACCGAGGGAGAGAGAGCAAACAGGAGACTGGGAGGAGCCTTCCCAGAATGCCATGGGTGTGAGAGTTCCCATAATCCTTTGCTTCAATTTGATGCCTCGCAGATCCGGTCGGATGAGATTTTTTGTTTTTCTTCTGTGCTTGAAATACTGCCTCAACTGAAACTGAATTTGTCTGTGTGTGTGTGTGTGTGTGTGTGTGTGTGTGTGAGAGAGAGAGAGAGAGAGAGAGAAAG